CAAGGTCAAAGACAGCTACTCCCGCCCTAGACAGCTCGCCCCAGCGGGGGATCTCAGTGGCCTCAGGGAACTGGTGACGCCAAGCGTCCGTCAGGCGGCCAAAGCAGCGCTGGGTGGAGTGCGCACCCCTGCACTGCTCACCCGCGCGGTCGCCAGTGCGTAGGACGTAGGTGCACGGACCAGTACCCCAACCTCGCTGGCGTGCAGCGTACCACTCACGGAGCTGCTGAGAGGGGGGGATGTCACGAGTGCGCTGCTGCTGCTGCTGCTGCTGCTGGCGCTGACCACCACTGGAGCCGACCCTCTGCGCTGCGCCACCCTGACCAGCTCCACCGCCTCCGCCGCCGCCTCCTCCACCACCGCCACCTCCGCCACCTCCGCTCCCACCGCCACCGGCGCCGCCGCCTCCGCCTCCACTGCCGCCACCGACACCTCCACCCCCGCCACCACTCCCACCACCACCCCCACCCCCTCCACTGCCTCCACCGCCACCTCCGCCACCCCCGCCAGCCCCTCCAGCACCCTTGCCCCCCTTGCCCTTGCCGGTGCGGCGTCTCCCGCTCGGGGCAGACGCAGCGCCGACCGACTCAAAACCAACGAGGTCGGCCGCAGCAGCAGAGGCAACAGAGGGCAAAAGGGGGGAGGGGGAACATTCCTCCAATACGGGGGTGCGAGGGTCACCACGAGAGGCTCCTACAGCGTCTATGCTCTTCTCTGCTGCTAGGAGGGCCTTCTCGAGGAGGTCAACGGTGAGAGTGGTGGGGCAAACTGAGAGGAAGTGGTCCCTGACTACACGAAGGGAGTCAGGGAGCCGGGTGACTATGTAGTAGAGGGTGATGTACATGGGGGGGGGGTTCTTGGCGCAGAACTCAGCAGGAAGCGCAGCGCGGTAGCGAGTGTCACTAGTGCGGAGGTGCGTAATGAGGTCAGCGACTGTGGGAAAGGCAGCAAGGTCAGGGAAGAGGTACGGTAGCATGAGGCGGCTCAGTGCAGCAGTGGCAGGGGAGGAGTAGCGCGCAACTACAGCGGCGTACAAGGTCTGAGCACTCTTGTACTGACTAAAGTGCGCACGCTCAGAGGTAGGCAGGTGGCGACGCACAGCAAGACGTGCAGCAGCATCGCGTGTGGCCCACTGTGAGCGAACAGTGGCATCGGCATCAGCAGCAGGGGCAGGAGAGGCACCAGAGGTGAGGTCAAAGAGGGAGAGACCGTCTGCCCTATCGCACTGTAGGAAAAGCTGCAGGTCATCTACCCAGACGTCAAAGTCAATGGCCCGACCCTCAGCGTCAAAAGCGAGGACACTTGGGGTAGCCATGACAGCAGTAGGCTAGCAGCGCGAACAGTAGGGTAAGGGCAGTGCAGTGACAGAGGCGCTGCTCTTACCGGACAGGGCGGCTCGGCGGCTCGGCAACTCGGCGGCTCGGGCGGCTCGGGCGGCTCGGCGGTACGGCGGCTCGGCAGCAACTGCGGCTCGGCGACTCGGCGGCTCGGGCGGCTCGGGCGGCTCGGCGGTACAACGGCTCGGCAGCAACTGCAGCTCGGCGGCTCGGCGACCCGGCGGCTCGGGCGGCTGAGGTGGCGCGGCGGCTCGGGCGGATCGGGCGGCTCGGCAGCAGCTCGGCAGCGCCGGCGGCTCGGTGGTGACGGCGGGGCCGCGTGGGGACGGCGGCGGGGCCGGGTGGAGCGGCGGCGGGGCCGGGTGGAGCGGTGGCGGGGCTGGGTGGAGCGGCGTCGGGGCCAGTAGAGGCGGCGCCGGGGCCGGGAAGGGCAGCTCCGGGGCCGCAGGGGTAGGCGACGGGGCCAGCAGAGGCGGCGCCGAGGCAGGGAAGGGCGGCGCCGGGGCCGCAGGGGTAGGCGACGGGGCCAGCAGAGGCGGCGCCGAGGCAGGGAAGGGCGGCGCCGGGGCCGCAGGGGTAGGCGACGGGGCCAGCAGAGGCGGCGCCGAGGCAGGGAAGGGCGGCGCCGGGGCCGCAGGGGTAGGCGACGGGGCCGCTAGGGCGGCTAGGAGGGGGGGGGGGGGGGTCGCGAGGGCGGCTTGAAGAGGCCGCGAGGGTGGCGTGAAAGGGGCCGCGAGGGCGGCGCGACGCGACGGAGCCGCGAGGGCGGCGGATCGGGGCCGCGAGGGCGGCGCGACGCGGCCGCTAGGGCGGCGCGAAGTGAAGGGGCCGCGAGGGCGACGCGACGGGGCCGCAAGCGCGGCGGGATGGGGCCGCTAAGGCGGCGCGACAGGGTCGAAAGGGCGGCACGACGGGGTCGTGAGAGGGGAGCGCGACTCGGGCAGTGTAGAGCGCGCTCCGGGCAGGAAAAAAGGTGGTGGGCCCTAGGAACAGTTCCCACAGGGGAACATGCTCGATACCATGAGAAACTGAACGAGAATGGAATGACTAAAGGGAAGTTGGGTACAAGTACAAACCCTAGAAAGCTGTACCCCATATGTGCTACCCCACTATAGCCTACAGTAGCTATGTCATATAAATCTGACACGTCATTGTGGCGACCAAGACGAGCGGGGCGCTCAAGGAAAATGCGCTCATGAAGCTCGCCCTGGAGAAAGGCATTGGAGACATCCATAGAGAGAATCTCCCAATCCCAACGAGCACCTAGGTGAAGAAGGAGGCGAAGAGTGGGGAGACGGGTAGTGGGGGAGTAAGTGGCAAAGTAGTCAATGCCTTCACGTTGGGTGAAGCCTTTGGCGCAGTAACGGGCTTTGAAGACAGGAAGCTCCCCAAGCAGTTGTTTGACACGAAAGGCCCATTTGCCCTTGACAATGGTGGCGCTAGGGGGGGGGACAGAGTCAATGCAGATTGAGTTCTGGTGAATGCCTCACACTCGGCAATGATGGCAGCCATCCACTCTGTTGCATGAAAGCCAGACACTGCCTCGAAAAAAGTATGAGGGGTGGGAATAGCGGCACTGTCAACGGAGAGAAGAGTGGGAGAATTGGAGAAGTTGCCAATGGTGACACAGAGGAGGGGTGAAATGGGATGAACAGAGAACAGCTCTTCAAATCGATCCTCGAGAAGATCGACGTTTGGAGAGGGAGAGAGACGAGTCAAGAGAGCAGAGTGCTGGAAATTGGACATGGCACGTGTCATGGAGCGGGTGAGACGCGGAGAAGGTGGGGGAGCAGGAGCAGGAGAGAGAGGAGAAGGATGTTGTGAAGGAGAGGGCATGGGAGCCAAAGAGGAAGAGGCAGGAGGAGAGGGGCCAGAGATGACAGCAGAGGGAGGGGTGGAGGGGGCAGGGAGGGGAGGCGGAGCAAGGGCGGGAGGTAGTGGAGAAGGAGGGAGATTAGCAGAGGGCAGCGGATCAAAGTCAGACCAACGGAGAGAGGGAGGAGGAGGGGTGGGAGGGGGGGTGAGGAAAGGGAAACGAGTCTCATCAAAGATAACATCCTGGCTGCGAATGAGCTGCTGAGAGGAGGGAGCATATAAAAGATAGTCAGGACAGTCAGAGTTGATGCCAATGAACACACAGAGGTGCGTCTTGGGAGCAAGCTTCCCACCCTGACGTGCTCGATCGGCGAGATTGATGAGAACATGGGCGACACAACTCCGGACCCGAAGAGGGCGGGCAGAGGGCTGGCGGCCAGTCCAGAGCTGGAAGGGTGTAATGGAAGGGCGAAGGGGATGAGGGCGAAGGTTGGAAAGAAGAGTGGCATGAAGAAGAGCGTAGCTCCAAAGTGAGTGTGGAGCAGAGGCATGAGTAAGGAGACAGCGGGTGATCTCCATTAGAGTGCGAATACGACGCTCGGCAATACCATTCTGTTCAGGAGAATGCGGAAGGGTGGAGGTTTGGCGAATGCCATGAGAGGAGCAGTAAGAAGAGAGAGAGTGGTTAAAGAACTTGCCACCACCGTCAGAGTGGAGGCGTGCGACAGGACGGCCAAAGCGAAGGTGCGCCTACTCAGCCCAGCGAATGATGAGAGAGGGGGCGTTAGATTTGGCACGGAGGGGATAGACAGTGGCAAAGCGAGAGTGGTCATCGACAAGAAGGAGAAAGTAACGATGACCCTGACGAGAGGCAATGGGAGAGGGACCCCAGAGATCCATATGCACAAGATCAATGGGTTCGGGGAGGCAGAAGGGGAAGTGGGATGAGGAGATTGGGAGAGCTTGGCTTGAACACAAGGGGTGCATGGAGGAGCGGGAGAGGGGGGTAGGGGCGGGAGAGAGGAAGGGAGATCATGAAGCAGCTTCAAATGGACCATGCTGCAAAGGAGAGGGAAGTTGGGGTGGCCAAGGCGATGATGGGGAAGAAGGGTAGGTTGGGTGAGAGAGCGACAGTCGCAAGAGGAGACGGGAAGGGCAGAAGAAGAGGAAGTGTGATTGATAGATGAGAGGATGGGAACACGAAAGGTGTAGAGGTGAGTAGTAGGAGAAAGGGTGAAACGAGCGAGGTGTCGATCGTGGAATGAAGATCACAATAGAGTTCACCTTCGGGGAAGAACGCTCGCACACCCAGACGTTGGAGGGCAGGGAGGGAGAGGAGGTTATGACGGCAAGAGGGAACATAAAGTCCCGTAACAGCGCCAGAGGGAGAGGCAGGACAGGGAAGAGAGGAAGTGCCAGTGCAGATCATGGTCATGGTCTCCCCAGCCCCATTGAGAGAGAGGGGACGAGGAAAATTGTGAAGGACAACGGCATCACGAAAGACAAAGTCAGTAGCAGCACTATCAAGGACAAAATCCAAGGTGTGAGGAAGTGAGAGAGCGGCAGCCGTAGGGCTGGGAGAGTGAGAGACAGTGCTGGGAACAGATGGAGAAAGTGGAACGACAAAACGAGGGTCCATGAGCGGAGAAGCATCAAGGATGCTATCCAGGGATGGCATGGTCACACTGAAGACAAAGGCCAGAGAACCAATACCAGAGGTGACAGCGGCACAAGAGTGGCGACTGTGATGGGACGGCGGAACCCAAGCAGAGGGGCGGAGAAGGGGGGAGGTCCATCGGCAAGTAGGAGAGGTGCAAGGGGAGGAAGGGGCAGCGAAGGGAGCGGAGATTAAGAAAGGCAAGGGTAGGAGAGGAGGTACGGCAGGAGACAGGTGAGGGCGGAAGCGCAGAGGAGGAGAGGTAAGAGCGAGAATAGGCCCCATCGGGGGAAGGGGGTAGCAATGGAGCAGATGTGGGGAGATAAAAGAGGAGGAGGAATAGGGACGAGGGAGTCAGCTGCCGAGCCGTTGAGGGGAGAAATAACAGAAGGAGGGATAACGGCGGAGTAGTCTGCTGCTGCGCCGTTGAAGGGAGACATAAGAGGAGGAGGGATAACAGCGGAGTAGTCTGCTGCTGCGCCGCTGAGGGGAGAAATAAGAGGAGGAGGGATAATGGCGGAGTACTCTGCTGCTCCGCCGCTGAAGGGAGAAATAAGAGGAGGAGGGATAATGGCGGAGTAGTCTGCTGCTGCGCCGCTGAGGGGAGAAATAAGAGGAGGAGGGATAATGGCGGAGTAGTCTGCTGCTGCGCCGCTGTGGGGAGAAATAAGAGGAGGGATAATGGCGGAGTAGTCTGCTGCTGCGCCGCTGTGGGGAGAAACAAGAGGAGGAGGGATAACAGCGGAGTAGTCTGCTGCTGCGCCGCTGAGGGGAGAAAAAAGAGGCGGAGGAACACAGTGGGGAAGGAGCACGGCTACGAAGCAAGGCTGCTGCAGCAGTAGAGGAGTGGAGAGAGGCGGAGGAGAGAATGAGATGGGGAGGGGAATGAAGGGAGAGAAGAGGGGAGGAGGAGGGTGAAGGGGCAGATGGTGAGGAGGGGTAGGTATTGATGAGAAAAATGATGAAGCAAAGGTGGCAACCAGCTGCAGCAGTAGACGAGAGAAGAGAGGCGGAGGAGAGAGTGAGATGGGGAGGAGAATGAAGGGAGAGAGGAGAGGAGGAGGAGGGTGAAGGGGCGGATGGTGAGGAGGGGTAGGTCTCGATGGGAAAAATGACGAAGCAAAGCCGGCAACCAGCTGCAGCAGTAGACGAGAGGAGAGGCGGAGGAGAGAGTGAGATGGTGAGGGGAATGAAGGGAGAGAGGAGAGGAGGAGGAGGGTGAAGGGGCGGATGGTGTGGAAGGGTAGTAGAGAAGGAGAGGAAATAGGAGGAGGAAGAAGTAAGGCGGTGCTCGAAGCACAAAGGAGAGTGGAAAGGAGGAGGGTGAGGGAGGAGAGGAGGCGCTCGCGAGTGGAAGGGCGACCACAAGAAGGGCGGCCACGTGGGGCGGGGCGGGCGCAACCAGGGGGAATAGAGCGCGCGCGGGCACTAAGTAGGGCGCGCGCGGGCGCACAACGGCAAAACCAGGGCACGCACGGCAAAAAGAAGGCGCACGCGGCGAAAATAAGGCGCGCGCGGCGACGAAGCAGGGTGCGCGCGACGAACGACAGGGCGCGCGCATCGACGGTGGTAGGGGAAGGGCGGGAGCGCGGGGCGCGACGGCTTTATGGGTTGCGCGGCTGCCTAAGGGGGGGAATCCGTGCCTTGAAGAAAAGAAAAAAAAAGGTCGAGATGATAGGAAAGCGTGATTTCGCGGGTGCCTAAGCGTCTAAGCATTTTTAAGAGATGTGAATAATGAAGGATTGCCTAGGATTAGGCTCTGATACCATGTTAAGAGAGTACTTGGAGCCATGGCTAGAGAGGATGGTTGAAGTAATAGACTAACAAGAATGTCGAGATACAAATGTAGGAAACCCTAAATGAACTTAGCGCGTGTTCAGTTTGCGCTGGAAACTAAGAAATGAACCTAAACTGAACCGAAAGTGTATCTCGCTCTAAACACAGCGAAATGACAAAAGAACACCATGATAAATGCCAGAGCGAGCTCTAGCCTACTCCAACAGACGCGACGGGAGCAAAGAGCAGGCGCGCGGCGGGCGCTAAGGGCAGGCCTGCTGGCGGGCGTTTATGGCAGGCGTGGCGGGCTCTAAGGGCAGGCGCGACGGAACAGGTGACGGGACGAGACGGGCGCGAGAGCGGGCAAAACGCGGTGTGGCAAGCGCGACTGCAGGCGCGCGGCGAACGGGCGTACGAAAGGGCGCTACTGCAGCGCTACGAGACAGGACGGGTGAGGCGCATGAGGCTCGGGAGGCTCGGGCAAGAGGAATGGGATCCTACAGGATCCTAACCTAGGTGATACCATGTCAGAAACTGAATTGTGTGTTGCATTGATGTGGGTTGGGGTACATATGCCTAACCCTAACATTTGTACCCCACAAGACAAGCCTCACTACAGGCTACAACATTTGACACCTGTACACGGTATACGTCTAGCACAGGGCCTCCGGTTTCAACGAAAAAGAGCTGATTGAGGTGAAAGGGGTTGAGATTTCAGACTAAGGCTCTGGCCTGGCACGACGCACAGTATTTTACTACGGTAAGACTGATCCTCACTTCTTCTTGTCCTCTACTGGCCCGTATAGAGGGCCTCTGATTTGCTTTGGCCTAGGCTGAAAAATATCAAACTGGTACAAAATGCTTTGCTGAAAATCAAACAAATAAGACATTCTATGTCATTTGAGACTACAAATCTAATCAGAATTCCTGTTTTTTCTCAACAAATTGCTGAATAATCAGCCTCAGTTCCTTAAAAGACATGAAATCTCAACCTTTTGGTTTTTTACACCATTTTTTCGCCGAATTCTGGGGCCCTGCCCGTCTATACTTGTTCCATCTGGCTTTAATCCGTCATACATTCTGGTGTGTATAGACGACTTAGTCTTTGCTAGGTCAGACATAGTCACAACTAACGTAGGTTAACGCAAGCGTATCTGCCCTCCTGCTCTTCAATATGTTTTACCCTGATATCGAGGGCCTTGTCTGTGTGAGTCAGAATGACATGATGGTGTCAGTTGTCAATTGTGACCATAGTACCGGTATTAAAAAAGTTGGGAACATGGAGAAGTGATTAGAGCATAATTAGTGATGTTCATAACACACGCATTGATGTGTTACGAGATGTTTCATTTTTTTTTTTTTTCGTACAGTTATGGATCCCTTTATGCTATTACCCGTACCTCAGTCGCAATTGCTGGGCAAGGTCCACGTGTCAGCTGCTTCTTGGTGTATCACCCTGCTGCTTCTGGAGTCAGCTGGTGCGGTTCGAGATTCCGCGCCGATGCGTTCTGGTTTGGGTTTGGTCCGGCATTGGCAAATTGTGCTACATTGGGGTGATCCTCAAAATGAAGGGCTCGATTGGAAAGGCTGCCCGTGATTAGCGGGAAGAGCTGCAAGTCGATTGCTGACATCAGCGTGGGCGTTGTGACATCCACGTTTTCCACTTTACGTTGTCGTTTTGTAGCGAGGCTCAGGTGTGAGAAGGGTTTCCGAGTGGTTCATAAATCCAAGGTACAGTTAGCCTGGAGCCTGAACATTTTTGTGTTCTCCTAATTCTCACCCTCCTGTCTGTCGTTTTTTCTGTATAGTATCCTGCCATTTTTTGTGAGACCACAGCTGGTTCTGCGATGCTGGTTTGGCTTTGGGGGGGATTTGAGGGCTGCTGGCCCCGTGGATGAGGTCGAGATCACAGAGAAGTTTCCTGACCCTGCTGCTTGTTCCTTCCCAGCCGCCACTTGGACACCGTACTGTCGGGGTGTAGCTTGGCGCGCTGGGGTGGCACCTCTGGCCTGATGTGTCAGTGGTTCGGAAGGTTACAAGCCTACAGCTTCGAGAGCCTGCTTGCGTGTCGATCAGGCTCGTCTCCTCGATCTACGCCGAATCTCAGGAGGGCTAGCCAACCATTTGCACGTTGTTTTTACACGGTTGCGTTGTTGCCTCGAGCAAGAATCCACGTCAAGTACCCGTGAAAAGAGAAACGCGAATGTAAACACCTCAGACCTGCAGCGTTTGGAGTACTCAAAATCGCAACCCAAGCCTTCCAGCGATTTGTCTCTCCTGAATCTGGAAGTGAGACCCTACACATAATTCGGGAACCTAAATTAGCAGAAAGTAGCTGTTCGGCACCTGCTCTCAGAGTTCATGAGTGCACGATACAAGAACTACCCGTACTTTTCTAGCGCTAGCATCCACGTGGTTCTGTCAGCGCATGTTGCAGCCGTCGCCCAGCATTGGCTAAGTTTTCCTTTGGTTGAATGGCGGGCTGTTCTAGGCGCTCAAGGCCTCGTCACCAACTCCTCCAATCAGGCCAATTTCTGAGGAGCAGCCGCCACACCACAACCAGCTCATCTCGAACCGCTAGATGGGTCCTGAACCCTGATTGATGCACGCGATTCGATGCCAGTCCGCACTTGGACAGGGAGGTCGTCAAGATCTGAGGCTGAGATGCAGGGATCGCGTGTGGCCACGGGAGGCGGCAGGCCCGCAATTCACTTAAATCTGACGGGACGGGACAGAGAGGAGGCGAGGAGGGACGGACGGAGACGGACGGACGACGAGATCTATTGACGGACGCGGCTCTGGCCAGGCGGCCTAGAGAGTGTCTGTCTACGTTTTGCTCTGTGTGCCCTCTGTCCCTCGGTCTTGTGCTGTTCGCGTTACGGTATGAGACACCAAGGTCATCCTCCTCAGACTCATACCAGCAACCTATTTCTGGCCCCCAAACAATTGCGCTGATCTGGCCAGAGCTGGAGGAAACAATGGAGGCCTTTCCACCACATTCTTCACCTCCTCCCTGGATTCCGCGGCTTTTTGGACAAAGCACCGCCCAACAGGAGCACCTCTTCAATCCACTCCACACAAATTGACGCCTTGCCTGCCCCTGCTTCTCCGCCAGACATATGGCAATCTGCGGCGTTACTTTCCTTTTACATCACTAATCCGCTTGCTTCGCCCCTTAGATCTGCAATGCGAGATGATCAGCTAAGCGCTCTAGCAGGCGTAGCTGCGCCGCCTAATGACCAGACCCAAACCCGCGCAATAACCCTCTTATGTAGCCTTTGAGACGCGTGAGCATAGATTACTCCGTTTAATGTGAAAACCAGCGCGATCTACGGCATGCAACACGCTCATTCAGCACAGCTGTCGGACTTATTTTTCTATTCATCTCCCCGTAAATGGCCTCTGTGATCAGCCCATCCACACCGTTCCAGTGCATTCAGTCTCCCACTAACAGCCCAGGATCCATCAACGTCAGCCATAATACCTCCAACACCACCACCATCACCGAGTCCCGCACCGTCTCTTGCGCCGCACCACCGCGAATCAAATCCATGTCTTCGCCGCTTAGCAACCGGCCATCGAGCTCATTGTTATCAGAACCAGTTCCTCCGCAAGCCGGCCCGACTAAATCATCAGGACCCGCCGGCTCCCACCCCCCCGGATCCCAGTATTCGTCATCGCTCCAGCAAGTAATTTCTCAAAAAGCTCTATCTAGGTGGGACTCCCCGGCGCAGGCGCTGCTTCTGCAGTCCAAGTCCCCGCCGCTCTCGCCCGCGCTTGTCGCTATCCCAAGCGCTGCTTCCCCCTTCTCCCCGCATACGCCCCCCGTGCCGAGGTTCGCGGCGAGCAATGCGGCTGGTCGATCGCAGCTGCCGCATCTCGCGCTCCCCAGCCCGGATCCGAATCAGGGAAAGTCTGCTCGTGATCATCCCATGGCGGAATGCAACGAAATGGTTACCATTGCGGATGGTGAAAATAACCCTTTGAAGAAACAAGCGAATTCGTCCGAGTCGATCGCAGCGGCGGGAGCCGAGAGCTGTCAGCTTTCTGTACCACCCTCAGAACCGACAAATCCTAACGATTGCACAAGGTAAGGGTACGATGCTCACTGAAAGAATGTGATTGCATATCTGTCGTTTCGATCTCTGCTGAAGCAACCCCCTTGAAATATGCGGCATTTCCCCTCCCCCTTCCTTTGCCCTCAATCTTTCCATTGCTGTTCCATTTTCCCCGTCATCGGCTCGACTCGCGTTCTTCCGCTCCGTCGCGGTCGCAGCCCCAACGGCAAGCGAAAGCGCCAAGCCGAACCGCGCGACTGCTGCGACGCGCATTCACCCCCAGCCCCGCCTGCTGCGGCGCCAGCGGCGGCCGCGGCGACGAGCGCGTCAGGAAGCGGTGCGGGCCTGAGCGGTCCAATGGACACAGGATCTGACGGCCAGCCGCCTGTGGATACTCCGTCAAGAGACATTGACGTCAAGCCGGCTCCTCTAATGGTCAGGACCTGCCTCGGAATGTTTGTCGGTCTTCCTTGTCCCTTATCCCTCTTTTTCTTCTTTCTTCCTCTGAAGGGGAAATCCTGACCCTCGCCCTTTTTGTTTTGTATTTTGTTGTTGTTCCTCTGCAGGATTCACCGTCGCCAGTGCAGCTAGCGCCACTGCTCCACTCTCTTCCCCTTCACTCGCACCATCCAGAGCTGCAGCATCAGCAGCAGCAGCAGCAGCAGCATTCTTATATCTACAACGGCCCCGCATCTCAATGCGCCGACGGCCCCCTCTGCACCTCCTGGAGCGCCAAGAAAATCTGCAGCGAACCACCGCTGCAGCCGCAGCTACAGTCGCAGTTACAGTCGCAGGCACAGGCACCCTGCTCGACGAATCCGATGCAGCATCAAGCGCAACCAACGCAGGAGCCGCCTCCGCCGCAGCCGAATCCGCCGACGAATCCGCAGCCGAATCTGCAGCAACAATCGCAGCCGTTTACGCCAGCACCGCCTTCATTCCCCGGTAGCGGTGGCGGGAGCGACGGCGGCGGCGGGCGCTGGAATCAAGTCCAGAGTCTCTCCTTCGCGGAAGCTTCCGTCGCTCCTCTTCCGCCCCCCGCGGAGATTCACCAGCAGGCGGAATCCGGACCGCCGGAGTCCATGGTTGGGGTCAGTGGTTGCGTCGACGGCGCCGGCGGCGACGGCTGCCGCGAAATGCTGCCGATGCGAGATGCATCGGCTCCGGCGGTAGTCGTGGCGTCAGCGCCGGCTGCGGCTGCGGCGGCATGCGCTGCTCCTTCTGCCGCATCGCCGTTGCTCGCAGCGCATAGCGGAAATGCGCCAACAGCATCAGCGTCGCCAGCAACCGCGCCCGCAGCCGCAGGAGCAGGGACAGTAGCACCAGCAGCGGCGGCAACGGCGGTGGCAGCGGCGGCGTCTCCGGCGTCACCCGCCGCCCCTCTAGTCCCGCACATGGCCGCCCTAGGCACGCCTACTGCGTCTCTCGCCGTTACCAAGCCGCCCGTCACTCCCAGCCCCACGGCGCGATCCGCGCTGCCGACCGTCGATGAAACCGCGTCGCCCGGCAGTACCCAGAACCTCCCGCACCCGCTACAGCCGCTACAACCGCTACAGTCGCCGCTGCAGCAGTCGCAGCAGTCGCAGCAGCATTCGCGACAGTCGCGACAGGCGCTGCAGCAGCTGCAACTGGTCGACAGATCGCCCGTCTCCCGGCCGCTGTCGACCGTCCGATCTCCTCTCCAGCGCTCGATCTCATGCTCCGGAGTGCCCTCCGCCGCCCCTCCGCCGTCCCCCCGCTCCCCCAACCAGCTGCGCAAATCCGGCAGCTTCGCCACAACCGCTTCCTCCCCGCGCCTGCTCCCCCTCGCTCCGCGGATTAGGCCCGTTCTCCCGACCGCCTTGGGCGCGCATATCCTCCCCGGCGCGGGCGGCGCGAGCATGATTCCGCCGGTGGGGCAGCGCGGGGCGAAGATTCTGGGGCTTATGGGGCTCAGTATGTCCCCCGGTGTGCTTTCGCCGCTCGTCGCGCGGCCGCCGCAGCTGGGGCATGGCGTCCCGACGCGACCGCCGCCGTCGTCGTCGTTGCTGTCGCCGTTGTCGCCCACACTGTCGCCGTCGCCGCTGCTGTCGCTGCAGCCGCAGCCGCAGCAGCAGCAGCTACAGCAGGTGGTGCAGCACCCGTCGCAGCATCAGTCGCCGTACCCGCCGCAGCTGTCGCAGCAGCCGTCGCCGCAGCAGCAGCAGCAGCAGTCGTCGCCGCAGCAGCTGACCAAGTCGCAGAGCTTTTCGCTCACGCACTCGTCGCTCAAGGCCGGTAATAAGGCCACCATGCCGCCCAAAAAAGGCAACTTCAAGCGCAGCTTCAGCGCGCCGCGCCTCGCGCTCACTAAAGACGTTCTCCCCCCCCCCGACGGCGCGCCTCCGCCCTCCGCCATGGACGTCGACGGCGGCGGAATCGGGTCCGCGGCGCTTGCGCCGGGCGGAAGGACACCGCAGACTGGCGCACTGCGCGACCCCAGCCTTCCCCCTTCCCCCGCCCCCCAATGGGGTGTGCCCCTCTCCCCCGCACCGCTTCCGCTTCCGCCCTCCGCGGAACACCTTGCGCCGTTCGGGTTCGCCCTGCAGCCGTCCCCTGCGGCGTCCCCCGCGGCGGCGGCTATAGCTGCGCCGCCTGTAGCTCCGTCTCCGCCGCTGCCTGCGGCGATAATGTCGCCGCGACTGCTGCCAGAGGGGTTGGGATGGGTGGATCGACTCTCGAACATCGCGCACCGCAAGGTCAGCGCTTTATCCGCCGCTAAACCCGCCGCGGACGCGCACGCTGCCGTCGGCAGCCCCGCGGGTGGCGGAGCTGGCGGGGCTGGCGGGGCCGGAATGGCGGGGAGGGGCGCAAGCAGCAGGGGCGCGGGGGAGACTGGCGGAGCGGGGGAGCGGGTGAGCTGCGCGCCGAGCGAGTCAAACACGTACTTTACGGAATCGGCGCGCAGCGGCACCCCTAGCATGAGCGCCGCGCCCAGCGTCACCTTGGGAATGCCGAGCCAGATGCAAGCGAGCCCGTCCGCCGTGAGCCACGTTATCGGGAACGCCAATAACGCGGATGGCGCAACTCGCGGGAGAATCCAGGCGTATGGGGCTCGGAACGTGTCTGGCATGGTTGGGGGGGTGAGTGAGGTAGGGGGAATGGCGATGGATGGGGGAGGCCAGGGAGGAGTGGACGTGGGTGGAGGGGTGTCGTCTCCTTATCGAGGAGGGAATGCGCTGGGACAGCCAAGGGGATTTGGTGGTAACCCGCTGACGCAAGGTTCGCAGCAGCAGCAGCATCACCAGCAGCAGACACAGCAGATGCAGCAGCAGCAGCAGCAGCAGGTGCAGCAGCAGCCGCAGCAGCAGCAGCAGCAGGTGCAGCAGCAGCCGCAGCAGCAGCTGCAGCAGGCGCCGCAGCAGGCGTATGGGTCACCCACCATGGTTCCCCAGCAGCAACAGCCGCATCACGGCGGCGCGTCACCATCGCCACCGTCGCCAATGCAGCTGCCACCCCAGCACCAGGTGCAGCAGCAGCTGCCGCAGCAGTACTCGCCTTCCCCTTTGAGCAGGCAGCATTGCACTGTGCCAAGCTCTCCCGTGAATGCGATGCTGCAGCCAGGGCAGCAGCCGCAGAAGCAGCAGCAGCCGCAGCCGCAGCAGCAGCAGCAGCAGCAGCAGCAGCCGCAGCAGCAGCAGCAGCAGCAGCAGCAGCAGCAGCAGCAGCAGCAGCAGCAGCAACAGCAGCAGCAGCAGCAGCAGCAGCAGCAGCAGCCGCAGCAGCAGCAGCAGCAGCAGCAGCAGCAGCAGCAGCAGCAGCAGCAGCCGCAACAGCAGCAGCAGCAGCAGCAGCAGCAGCAGCAACAGCATTTGCAATTGACGGGTCCGCCCCAGCAGTTGGCACAGCAGCAGCTGCAGAACACGCCTATTATGCAGAGCCATCAATTTCCGAATCAGTACCAGCAGCAGCAGCAGCAGAAGCCGCAGTACCAGCAGCGTCAGCAGCAGGAGCAGCAGCAGCAGCATTACCAGCAACAGCAGCAGCAGCAGTACCAGCAGCAGTGCCAGCAGCAGCAGCAGCAGCAGCAGCAGCAGCAGCAGCAGCAGCAGCAGCAGCAGCAGCAGCAGCAGCAGCAGCAGCAGCAGCAGCAGCAGCAGCAGCTGCAGCAACAACAACAACAACAACAGCAGCAACAGTTCCAGCAGCAAGAGCGACCGCCAATGCCTCCTCCTGCTACCTCCGCTCCTCCACGTTCCCACTCACTGTCTCTTGTCAACCCTCCCTCCCACCTCGCGTCTCTTCACAAATCCGAGTCCGTGTGCGACAGCTCTTACACCTACACCATGCAACCCCCTCTTTCCCAGCATCAGCAAACCCAGCCACACGGGGAGCCCTTCGTTTCCTCTGCCCCTGCCCCTGCTGCTGGTGTTGCTCCCCTTGGTGGCGGGGGTAGTTTTGCCCTTGGGTCGCTCCCTCTCTCCTCTGCTCGCGGCGCTACAGCTGGTCCCGTTACAAGCAACGATCTCCCTCGCTGCGGCAGCAGTTCTGTCGCGCCCTTGTCCATTCCCACTTGGCCTCCTCTGCCTCCTCCTGTTGCTGCTGCTGCTCCTCCCGCTCCTCTTCCTCCTCCTCCTGCCGCTACTGCTTCTGCTGATGACTCCCCGTGCGCACCTGCTGCTGGAGGGGCTAAGGCAAATTGGCCGGGGGATGAACCACAGGGGCCAGTACAGGGTCAACTGCAGGGGCAAGGGCAGAGGCAATCGCAGGGTCAAGGGCAGCAGCAGCCTTCGACCCAGAATGCTGCTGTTGTGAATCTCGAGAGTGGTGCTCGTTCATCACAGCCCTTCAACTCTCTCTCTCCTCCTCCTGCTCCTCCCGCTTCTCCTGCTCCTCCTTCTCCTCTCGCCGCTCCCGCTGCTGCCGCTCCCCTTGCTCCTTCTTCTGCGCCTGCAAACAACTTCCCACCCACCTCCTTCCCACCTGCTCCTGCATCCCTTGCCCCTGCTGCTCTTACCCCTGCTTCTTATGCCTCTCCTCCCCTCCGCCCTGCCGCTCCTCCCTTTTCAACAGCGATCAATACTCCCCCCGCCGCTACCCCTCCCTCCCATCCCCGCCCGCCGCACTTCCACCTCTCCCCCGCGCCTCTCCCGCATGCTGACGTGGATTACATGATGGGCGGGGGTGCGGAGATGGTGGGTGCCACGTGGACAGACGCAGGGCTTGCTACAGTGCACGATCTGGAGCTACAGGAGTTAGAAGTGCTGGAATGGCTGCCGGACAATGATGGCGGAATGGGCGGCAGCATGGGCGGCATGGACGGCATCGACGGCATGGGCGGCGCGGGCGGCATGGGCGGGGAAGAGGATTTCTTTTCGCCCTTGCATGTCTCTGGTGGGGCAATGGGTATGGGCGGGATGGGGGACGTGAGGGGAATGGGCGGGGTGGGTGGAATGGGCGGGATGGGGGGGATGGGCGGGATGGGGGGAATGGGTGGAGCAGGGGATGCAGGAGCAGGTGGGGAGGGTGGGGGGCAAGGTGCTATGGCTGTGGATGGTGCGAAGTGGGGAGAACAGGGGGAGCCTGCGTATGGGTACCCGCCTGGTGGGGATGCAGGAGAAGGGGTGAAGGGAGAAGATGGGGAAAGAATCGGAACGAGTAGTGAGGCACAGTGGGGTGCACGTGGGGATGGGGTTAGGAGACGGGATGGGAATAAGGATGGGGATGGGAATGGGGATGGGGATGGGGATGCGCTTGTGTGTGGAGGAGGGATGGGTGGAGACGGTGAGGAGGAAGGGGGAGGTATGGGTGATATGGTGGTGGTGTGCCGATCGGGGAGCATGCTTCTGAGTGCTCCCAACACAACGTCTTCTATACTCGAACCCGCTGCTGCTGCCACTGTCACGGCGGCGGCTCCTGCTGCTGCTGCTGCTGCTGCTGCTACTACTGTGCCTGTGCCTGCACGTGCGCCTGTCGATCCAACACATGTTGGATCAGCGCCGGCAGCTTATAGTATGCATGGTGGTGTTGGTGCTGGTGGTGCTGCTGGTAGCGCCTGTGATGGTACGAAAGCGCCTGTTGTTGGTGCCGCAGTGATGGTTGATGGGTCAAACAAGGGACGCTCCCTGGGAGGGAGTGAGGATGAAGGGAAAGAAGTTGGAGGGACAGAGGCAGTACCCCCTACTGCCCCCGCCGCCGCCGCCCCTGCTGCTGGTGGTGATGGTGGTTGTTCTGGTGCTTTTGGTGCTGTCCCTGCCGCTGCCTCTCCTGCACCTGCTGATGCTGCAGCTGGTCCTGTTTTTACTGTGGGAGAAAACGCTGGGGCAGCTGCTGCTAGTGGTGCCGCTGCTGCCATTGCCAGTTCAATCAATTCCCAGCCTGCGCCTGGTGACCCTGCAACGAATGACACTGAGCAAGGTAACAGCAGGGGGGGTGGAAGTGGCAGGGGCAACGGCAGCAGCAGTGGTGGCAATGGCAGTGGTGGTAGGCGTGATGGTAGGAGCGCTGGTGGGAGGGGCAAGGACGAAGAGGAGATGGCCCATCTCCAATGCACAGAGGACGTGGTGCAGCTCTGGTGTCCCATGAACGAATGAAACCGGGAAACGAGGCACCTTATACGGAGGATAATGGGGCAGGGAAGCGCATGAACCTGTGGGCTTGCAGGTCTGCCTTGTGCCTTGTGTGCCTCCCTCCCTCCCTCGCCCCGGTTTCTGCTCTTTCTGCGGCTGCACCCAACAAGTGTCGTTTATACCGGGACACGGCTTTATACTGCATACTTGTGAGAAAAGAAACAAGATCAAAGAGTCATGAGGGCTTGCGGTTCTGACTCTCTGGCTGGCTGCCTGCTTGGCTGGCTAGCTGGCTGTCTGTGAAGCCTGGTGGTTCAGCGCTGCTGGTGGCATGTGGCTGGTGGTGTAGCACTGGCTGTGGCTGTGGTGTTGTGGCTGGTGCAGACCCGGGGGGGTGGCATGTGGCCGGTGTGTTTTGAGTGGACCCCAGAGTCAGCAGCGCTGGCTGTTGTGTGTGGGGTGCTGTAGGCGCCACCATCAAAAGGGCATGGGGTAGGTGTATTGAGAGGGTGGGGGTGGTCAATGGGTGTGTGGGCCTAAGGGGTGTGAGGAAGGCGCAAGGCTGGAGGACCAAGGGGAAGGTTGTTTTTGGGGGGATGGTGGCTGGATTGGGGGGGTTGTGGTGGTTGGAATGGTTTCGGTGGTGGTGGTGGTGGCCGGCTATTTATGCTAATGCTAATCTCACTAACCTTGTTTTGGGGTGTTGTTGCTGAGGAGCACTGGGTTTTCTTGGCCTCTGTTCCATATCCCCATGTTTTCTCTTGTTATGTCTTTTTGAGTGCCGGGTTTGGGGGAGGGGGAGGGTAGCAGGGGAGGAGGGGAGGGGAGGAGGGGAGGGGAAGGGGAAGGGTTGCTGTGGTGGAGGGGAGGGTCTCCATGCTATGTATCTTGATTGGGCATGGAAGGAGAAGGCAGTGCCTCGCGTTGTCTCTGGGAATAAGGTTGACAGCTGGAGTGCTCGGCCTTTTGACGTTCCTTAAGATGTGGCATGGGGTTCTTGGCATGGCTTCTAGGGCTCCTTGTGGTTGGAAAGTGGTGCTGACTATTTGGGTGATTGTTAAACGCTACCAATTTTTGGATTTGTTGTGCTGCTGATCGTTTCGGATGGTTTGCGGATCTCTGAAATGTTTTTGCCTTGACAATTGCATCTGCAATTTCACAGCTTTGGATCCCAAACACAGCTATTTCTTTGCAACTTGACTTGACACCTGTTTATCACCCGAATAATACACTACCATCTCCAAGACACTGAACCATCGGCAAAGCAGATTCTGTAACAATGGCGATCGCTCACTCGCCACCGTACTAAACGCTCCTGTAGTACTTTTCACCCAAGTGAAACGCACCCTAACCCGTCACTGCGCGATCGAACTGGAACCTCCACCCTCGACACTACCGCACCACACACCCTCGCACAGGGGAACAGGCTGATCCGTTGCAGCCATATTCGTTGTTCGTGCTTCGCCTTCCACTTCCAGAATCCAGATCCAGTCGATCAGGCGTTACTTGAGCCTGCCTGACTTGTGTTTTCATCGACTCCTTCACCAGGGATTTTGTTCTCCAGGTCCAGGGATATCTTGCTTGCCCGCTGCCGCGTTTCCGTCACTTGTTTGGTTAGAGCAGAGATTAGAGGAGATTTACCGCCGCCGCCATTTCATCGCCACGTCACCAGCTGGTGTAGTCCGAGCATCGTCTGAGAGTTTCAGCCGATCCGTCCGCGTTGTTGGCCGTCTTGAGTTTCGTTATTGTGGGGCTGCAGCCGTCGTGACCGTATTTGAAAGTCTCAATTCCAATCTGATCGCGGGATCTTTTCCCTTACAAACTACTCGCTATAAGGCGAAATTCGATGAGCTACACTGTATCCCAGCATGCGTACATCAAGGCGTCACTGCACTCGATCAAGTTCCCATACGCACCGGTTCTCGGCGTCTTGATAGGCAAGGTGCGGGACGGAAATAATGGCAGCGGAGGAGCGGCGGATGCGGAGAGCTCTGGCGGGAGCGCGGGGAAGGCGGAGGTAGAGGTGGAAGATGCTGTGCCTTTGTTTCATGGCTCCCTGCTGCTGCCGATGCTGGAACTGGCGCTCATGCAGGTACAGTTCCAGGAATTATTTGAGAAAAGCAACAGAGGGGGCGACGGGGTTACCGAGTGGGGTGTCAGGGCGAGTCTTGAGAGGTGACGGTTGGTCGATGAGGCTCAAATGAGACGCCTCAGAAGCTGACTTTTGAGGCGCCTCAAAAGTGAGGCTCATTCGAGACGCCTCAGAAGCTGGGTGGAGGGTGGGGTTGGGAGGTGGAAGGATGAGTATGCGCCGTGGAAGTAGCGGTCAGAATGACTTTTGAGTCGACTCAAAAGTATACGCTGTGGAAGTAGCGGTCAGAATGACTTTTGAGTCGACTCAAAAGTATACGCTGTGGAAGTAGCGGTCAGAATGACTTTTGAGTCGACTCAAAAGTATACGCTGTGGAAGTAGCGGTCAGAATGACTTTTGAGTCGACTCAAAAGTATACGCTGTGGAAGTAGCGGTCAGAATGACTTTTGAGTCGACTCAAAAGTATACGCTGTGGAAGTAGCGGTCAGAATGACTTTTGAGTCGACTCAAAAGTATACGCTGTGGAAGTAGCGGTCAGAATGACTTTTGAGTCGACTCAAAAGTATACGCTGTGGAAGTAGCGGTCAGAATGACTTTTGAGTCGACTCAAAAGTATACGCTGTGGAAGTAGCGGTCAGAATGGGATATATATGGCCGATCGTGATCGCGCTCTCTCCCTCCTTCCATGCTGATCCGGCTCGTTTCACCCCCTGCCGTGGCGTGCACTCAAGTTTTGAGGCGCCTGGGCTTGTTTCAAAACTAGGCTTGTTTCACTCCCTGCCGTGGTGTGCACGCCCTTGCACGCGTGCAAACGTGTACATGCATGTGGACATACACGTATGTGAGGTCCCAGGGTTCCTCACTCGTGGGGGGGAAGAGTTGTGCGCGTGCACATGTGCACATGTATGCGGTGCGGACGTGTATGTAACCCACGTGCCTGGAGTGTAATCCACAGTGTATGTCCTTCCGTGACTAGAGTGTTGTCAAGCGGATCGAAAACCCGCTGTGGATGCATGCAACCCCGTGCCCATGTGTCCCCATTTTCCATGTCCCTATCCATCCATCCATCCATCCATCCATCCATCCATCCATCCATCCATCCATCCATCCATCCATCCATCCATCCATCCATCCATCCATCCATCCATCCATCCATCCATCCATCCATCCATCCATCCATCCATCCATCCATCCATCCATCCATCCATCCATCCATCCATCCATCCATCCAACCACCCACTCACTCAACCGTGCAACTGCCGCAGGCAGAGCAGTATGCAGCGTCGCAGGGCATGGCGGCGATGGTGGGGCATGGCGGCGATGGTGGGCGTGCACGCGGCCAACGAGCGCGTTGACTTACATTTACCCACGTGCCCATGTCCCTTGTGGCCATGTGCCCATCCACCCATCCATCCATCTTCCCATCCACCCAACCATAACCGTTATCAGGCAGAGGAGTACGCTGTATCACGCGGCATGGCAGTGGTGGGTGTGTACACGGCCAACGAGCACGTGGACGCGCCAGAGCCACACCCCTTGGTGCATGCTGTGCGCACTTAACACCCATTGTGCTTTGCATGTATGCACTCCACTCCTTTGCCCGTGCGTCCCCCTGGCCCAAACCACGGCAGGCTGAAGAGTACGCTGTATCGCGCGGCATGGCTGTGGTGGGCGTGTATGCAGCCAACGAGCGCGTGGACGCACATGCGCCCACCCACGTGCCCATGCCCCTCAGTAGCTGCTGTGCGCTCAACACCCATTGTGAATGTGCTCCCTCGCCCGTGTGTCCCCCATGTCCCAAACCACGGCAGGCAGAGGAGTATGCCTCATCACGCGGCATGGCCGTGGTGGGCGTGTACGCAGCCAACGAGCGCGTGGACGCACCAGAGCTCGCGGTGGGCACCAAGCGCGTGGCGGACTGTGTTGCCAAGCACTGCCCGCCCGCCTGCTGCCTGCTCGTGCGTGCATTGGGAGGGCGTGGGGGATGGGATGGGGGGTTGAGTTGAGCTGAGTCGGCATGGTTGATGGCGTGAATGATCCTGTGGGGGATGGCGTGGGTGCTGGTTTACAGGGTATAGTAGAGCTGAAGGGATATTAGAGGGAGACGGCGCTGTATCCCTCATCTGTATCCCCGCCCCCTTCCCCTCCCCTCCCACCCTCTTGCCACAACCCCCTGCCTTTCCCTCCTCTCCCCATACACGCTCACCCTCCTGTACTTCTTTCCTTCTTCAACAATCATCCCGAGCTTCCCCACCCTCTCTCTCCCTGCCTCTCATACTCCCCATCCCTTCCTGTCATTCTGTCTGCCTCCCTGTTTCTCTCCTCGCCTCCCATTCCCCCTGCCAGCTAGACCCAACGGTGATGCAGCAGCTGCTGGGAACAGGCACGGGTGGGCAAGCAGGAGGGGCAGGGGAATCAGAGTCGAAATCTGCAACACCAGTTGAGGCTCACCAGGCGTTCAAGGTACAGTCAGTCTGTTAGCCAGTCAGTTGGCCAGTCAGTTAATCAGTCAGTTGGTCAGTCAGTTAATCAGTCAGTTGGTCAGTCAGTTAATGAAACAGTTGGTCAGTCCGTTGGTCAGTCAGTTGGTCAGTCAGTTAATCAGTCAGTTGGCCAGTCAGTTAATCAGTCAGTTGGTCAGTCAGTTAATCAGTCAGTTGGTCAGTCAGTTAATCAGTCAGTTGGTCAGTCAGTTAATCAGTCAGTTGGTCAGTCAGTCAATCAGTCAGTTGGTCAGTCAGTTAATCAGTCAGTTGGTCAGTCAGTTAATCAGTCAGTTGGTCAGTCAGTTAATCAGTCAGTTGGTCAGTCAGTTAATCAGTCAGTTGGTCAGTCAGTTAATCAGTCAGTTGGTCAGTCAGTTAATCAGTCAGTTGGTCAGTCAGTTAATCAGTCAGTCAGTTGGTCAGTCAGTTAATCAGTCAGTTGGTCAGTCAGTTAATCAGTCAGTCAGTTGGTCAGTCAGTTAATCAGTCAGTTGGTCAGTCAGTCAATCAGTCAGTTGGTCAGTCAGTCAATCAGTCAGTTAATCAGTCAGTTAATCAGTCAGTTGGTCAGTCAGTTAATCAGTCAGTTGGTCAGTCAGTTAATCAGTCAGTTGGTCAGTCAGTTAATCAGTCAGTTGGTCAGTCAGTTAATCAGTCAGTTGGTCAGTCAGTTAATCAGTCAGTTGGTCAGTCAGTTAATCAGTCAGTTGGTCAGTCAGTTAATCAGTCAGTTGGTCATTCAGTTAATCAGTCAGTCGGTCAGTCAGTTAATCAATCAGTTGGTCAGTCAGTTAATCAGTCAGTTGGTCAGTCAGTCAATCAGTCAGTTGGTCAGTCAGTCAATCAGTCAGTTAAAATGCCTCGTGAATCTGCAGCACCAGTGGAGGGAGGCTCACTTGATCACCACGTGTTCAAGTACTGTCATTTAGTGAGTGGCCACTCGCCGCTCAGGTTGTGTAACTTTGATGCACGCGCGTTCAAGCCACAGTGTAATTGAGGCGTTTCCAGACAGGACCCCACTCGTTAATCCCCTTACTTCACCCCTTAAAGCAAACCACCTACTTCTCCCTTTCTCTCCTCCCCCTCTCTCCCGTGCCCTCTTTCTCAACCCCCTTTCTCATCTGCGGACCCTGGTTCTCCCCCTTCCCCCCTGTCCTCGTCACTGCCAGCTGTACACGTGTGATTCAGCCCGTGTGTGGCGCTTCCAAAAGCCGGCTGTAGCAGGGGGGAGCACGAGCGCAGCAACGATGCGCGTTCGGCCGGCGACAGTGGCCGGCATTCTTCGGAGCTATTTGGAGGAGGGACGGCAGTGGCGACTATGCGATTTTGAGGAGCACCTGGATGACGTGTCAAGGTATGTGTGGCTGCTTGCTTGATTGTTTGTCTGTTCTGTATTTCTTAATGTCTGGATGTGTGTATGTTTTTTGTCTGTCTGTTCTGTACATCTGTGTTTCGTATGAATGTTCTGGCTGTTGTCAGGACGCACCTCTCAAAAGTTGGTTTTTGGTAATGATGTGTTGTGCAAGCACTACGGTTGCTCAGGGAAAAGTAGATCCCTGAATTCGGAAGAGATCCGTTCAGGCTGGAATGGATACGTGTAGATTTGGTTCCTAGTGGAACGGTTTGTGGTTTCCAGAAAAGGCTGATAGGTACTGGGTGTTTAACTTGGGTTGTATCCGAGCTCTTACTCTACCATGGGCTGTGCGTTTCTTTGGATTGCAGGGATTGGCGGAATATTGAAGTTATGGAGTGAGCAACACTGCTGGGTGGGTGCAGTGATTTACTGCAGATGGACTCTGCATCATCACAAATTACAGATCCTGGGCTCCTACTGTGCTGTGAGGTTTTTTTCCCAGATGTATTTCATGATGTAGAAATCTATGCGAAATTTCCTTCACATTTATCAAAATTTCAAGCCACCCTAAGTTTGCCTAGTGGTATCATACTGCTGCTGGAGCATAATACATGAATGAGGAAGTGATCTGGATTCAGGGTCTGCAAAATCTTTGTTAACGCTTAGTATATCAATCGGCCTGCAATTGACACTCGATATGTTACCGGTGCACCGCTTTCACGTACTAAGGTGTAGCCGACATTTCTGCATAAGCTTCGTCCACCAGATGCTAGTATCCTCCTCTTCCTCCTTTCGACAACCACACCACCACCCCCCTCGTTCCCCTCGCTGTCTCGCCGCAGCGCCATCGCGGAGCCGCGATCTTTCAGGGTAGCAGGGTCGCGATCGTTATTGCTGCGGCAGCGCAAGGTGCGCAAGGTGCTGCTGTCTCAGTGCTCCCTCGATCCACGTACACGCCGACTTTTGGGACCACCGCGTCTGCCGTTTCGGCCTGCGCGTCTGACAGCATTACTCTCAGCTTGAGCGACCTTTGAAGAGATTTCAAAAGCGATTCAGTGAGGGAATCAGAGCAGTGGCAGCGATTCATCGCGGCTAGAGCAGTAGCGGTGGGTGAAGCATCGAGGAGGGGGAGCAACGGCGGCAGAACCAACAGCGACGGAAGCACTACTAGCAGCGAGAATCATTGCTGTCTTTCGAGTCGACGAAGCACACAGTAGCAGCGAGAATCATTGCTGTCCGAACTCTCTGTGGCCTCTCTCTCCGATAATCCCAACGCAGCAGCTATGTCAGGCGCAACCGCCGCTCCTTCGCGGGTGTTCTCCTATATATTCAGCGGGAAGAGATCGTACGGTTTCTCTACTTCCTTTCCTTCCAGCCGATCTGTTTTTCCTCTTTCTCCTAGGATCGTACGGCTCATGTTCAAACCTAGTTTTCTTCGAGGCTGTCCTTCTCCTCTTGTCCGTTCAGTTCCCTCACTTCCTTCCACCCCCTGTATTGTTCCTTACATTTTCACCTCTCCTACTTTCTTTTGTAAATCTGTCCACACTTTTTTTTCCTTTCTTGCAGTGTGCATTAGATAATTTCCTCCCCTCCTGCCCCACCCACCCCCCCCCCCTCCCCACACAACTCCTTGTCAGAATCTCATAGTTTTTCTGCTACAATCCTTCCTCCTCCCCCTCCTCCTCCCCCCTTCTCACCACCTCTCCTCACCCCTTACCCTCCCTTTTTCACCTCGCCCCCCTTCCTTATTCCATGGCTACATACATCTGTCTCCTGTGTACGCATGGGAATGTGTGGGCACGGGCATGTGTGCGTATGCGCATGTGTGCGCATGGGAATGCGTGCGCATGGGCATGTGTGTGCATGGGCATGTGTGCACATGGGCATGTGTGCACATGGGCATGTGTGCACATGGGTGGTTACAGGCATGTGTTTGGTGGATTGTTCGCCATAGGCTTGCTATCCTATGTTCCTTGGTACTACATGACAGCAGGTATGGGAGAATATGGTAACACATGCGGGTCTGCTTTAGCATATCTTCACATGCAGGCTCTCACATGCAGGCTCTCACATGAACACATTCACATGCTCAACAATTGTACTCGTCTTCTTTTTTCTCTCCCCCCTCCCCCTCCGCCCCCCCATTCCCCCCTCTCTCTTCACCCCGCACCCCCACACCTAAACAACACTTACCTCTTCGTCGCTTCCCTGTGTCACCATGTATGCATGCCTTTCCTCTCTACCACTGATACCGATATCCTCACCCATCCATGCATCCCTGCCCTTCTTCGGCCTCTTCTTCTTCCGCAGCACATCAGAAGACACCCCGCAGATGAATGAACCTGTCACATGCCACCCGCTCCTGCACCCACTCCTACTCCCGCTCTCACCACCACTCCCACTCCCACTCCCACTCCCGCTCTCACTCCCACTCCCATTCTCACTCCCACTCCCACTCCCACTCTCACTCCCACTCCCACTCCCACTCCCGCTCTCGCTCCCACTCCCACTCCCACTCCCACTCCTGCTCCCGCTCTCACTCCCACTCCCACTCCCGCTCCCGCTCCCACTCCCACTCCCACTCCCGCTCCCACTCCCACTCCCACTCCCACTCCCACTCCCACTCCCACTCCCACTCCCGCTCCCACTCCCACTCCCACTCCCGCTCCCAATGAGCAGGCAAGAAGCAGCTCTCGCATTCAGACTACATGGCCATGCAGGAGAAGGAGAGGATGAGGAAGCAGCGCTTCTCCACTGCTCCTGTCCACGACGACACTCCTGCTGCTGCACCGTCCCAGGCCTCGTCCCAATAGAGATGGTTCGAACCATTGCTTTGCTGCAAGATGCAGCAGGTTAAAAAGCTTAGCAGAGAGTAGGTACGGTAACACATTCCGGTGCTGTTCCTGTGTGTGTGAGTGGTGGTTGCTTGTCCTTTACATACAGTCCTCTCAGCCCAACCATTTCAAGGAAATCGTTTGCCTGGAGGGAGTCGCTTTTCATCATATTCTTCTTCGTCTATGGGACATTAATTTGCTGGTACAGTGATCTGCACTGCAGCACTAAAACTGATTATAGAAAGGCATGTGCTGAACCATCCGGCCTTGCCCCTCAGCAGGTATGCCGACGCAACAAAACTTGCTTCATAACAACGATAATTTTCCACATATCGTTCAAAGTGTACGAAGAGAATCGCCAGGAACAAGTTCTCAGGTTGTGGCAGATTCAAGAGTGCATGTAGTGGCACAGCCGCACATACGTGCCACACCCCCCCAGTTCTGGACCCATCCATCATCCTTGTTCTGCAGATGCCATGCCACACCATGGCATGGCCAGTAGCCACTCCACACACAAGAGCGGCAGCTGCAGTGGGGAGTAAAGGCGCCGTACCACATCCCCCGCTCTCACCCCTCTGCCCACCATAACAGCCGCTCTCCCCTTCGCCTCCCTCCTTCGCCTCCCTGCCGCCCCTCTTGCCCCCCGCCACACGCCTTGAGAAGCTCATCCCCTGCCACATGGCCTCCCAACCACCACATGGCCTCCCAACCACCACATGGCCTCCCAACCACCACATGGCCTCCCAACCACCACATGGCCTCCCAACCACCACATGGCCTCCCAACCACCACATGGCCTCCCAACCACCACATGGCCTCCCAACCACCACATGGCCTCCCAACCACCACATGGCCTCCCAACCACCACATGGCCTCCCAACCACCACATGGCTCCCAACCACCACATGGCCTCCCAACCACCACATGGCCTTCCAACCACCACATGGCTCCCAACCACCACATGGCTCCCAACCACCACATGGCCTCCCAACCACCACATGGCTCCCAACCACCACATGGCCTCCCAACCACCACATGGCTCCCAACCACCACATGGCCTCCCAACCACCACATGGCCTCCCAACCACCACATGGCTCCCAACCACCACATGGCCTCCCAACCACCACATGGCCTCCCAACCACCACATGGCTCCCAACCACCACATGGCCTCCCAATCACCACTTGTCTTGCACCATGCCATGGGAGGGTTTCTCCTTCCTTTACCTTCCACTCAACCCCAAACAGGGTTTCAGCCCCCTTCCCTTCCACTCAACCATCAAAGGAGTTTTAGCCCCTTCTTTAAACAAATGTACCACCGAAGGGAATTCAGCCCCCTTCGTTGTCACTCATCCACCCATGGGGTTCCAACCCGCTTTCCTCAAACCCACAGATGCATCATCCTTCATCCTTCTCACTCATCCAGGGGTTACAGACCCTTTCCCTCTCACTCACCCACCTAAGGAGATTTAGCCCCCTTATCCTTAACGCAATCACCCAATGGAATTTCACCCCCTTGCGAAGAGAGAGGGGAAGATGGGAAGAGAGAGGGTAAGATGGGGGGAGAGAGGGTAAGATGGGAAGAGAGAGGGGAAGATGGGGGGAGAGAGGGTACGGTGGGAAGAGATTGGGGACGAGAGAGGGTAAGATGGGAAGAGAGAGGGGAAGATGGGAAGAGAGAGGGGAAGATGGGAAGAGAGAGGGTAAGATGAGGGGAGGGCGGTGAAAATGAGGGGAGGGCGGTGAAAATGAGGGGAGGGCGGTGAAAATGAGGGGAGGGCAGTAAAAATGAGGGGAGGGCGGTGAAAATGAGGGGAGGGCGGTGAAAATGAGGGGAGGGCGGTTAAAATGAGGGGAGGGCGGGGAAGCTGAGAAACGAGTGAGTTGGTAGGTTGGGGTATGGGGGGGAAAAGGGAGCGAAAAGGAACACACACACCTGACTCGCCACGCACCTTAGAAATTGTGGTCGACGCGGGCACTCCTGCTCTGCTCTCAGCCTCGGGAAAAGGAAATTGCGAAGATAAGGCGGAAGGGAGGGAGGGGGAGGGGAGGGGGGGGAAGGGAAAACAAGGGGAAAGTGGTCGCCACTCCGTGTTACCTTTCGCCACTCCGTATTACCTTTCACAACTCCTTGTTACCTTTCGCCACTCCTTTCCGTCGTCAAATAAAGGCATTCGCCCGTCCATCCCCCTCTTCTCCCCTCAAATAGGCTTTCACCTGCCGTCCTAATTTTTATCGACGGTACGCGCTACGTTACCGATGCGTCCGCAAGCGACGCCAGTCATTTGTCCGGACGAACGTTACTATTTCCGTCGGCAATCCGCAAGTTAAGAAAATGTCATATCTGGAGCACGCAACTTACTGCTCTGTCTAATTTCAGAGCTGACCCTGCTCTGTCTAACGTCAGTGACATCTGCTACGATTCTGAAATCGGTGCTGCAATTACATCGACTACCGCGCTGAGATCTCTCCTAACAAGATGAGCGGCGAAACCACTGGTGAATGCAGATTAGGTGAGGCAATGTTAGGGCGCTTCACCTGAGGGGCGGAAGGCCAAAATCCGAACCGACGTATCAGTTTGACTGTACGAACAGTATCCCAAATGAGTTCGAACACAAATACGTACAATGAGCGAATGTGACACAGGCCATCACAGGTGACGCCATCGCTATTCGCACACGCGGTCTGTTCGAACACAGCGACGTCGCCCACAAAAGAGCGACGTCGCCAAACATTGGGTCCCAAACATTGGCGACGTCTGGCCGGGTCGCAAACGTTCATGGGCGACCCGGAAGACTGTGGACCAATCATATCAGTCGTTTGTGCGGAATTGTGTGTCACCTATCCCAACCTGTTCGAACAAACGTGTTCGAACGTGCGGGATGATGAAAATCGTGCTTGAGGTGACATCTCTGTTCAAATTGGCGAAATTGTGCTTCGCGACGTCACGAAAACCACTACGAATATAGGCGAAACGAGTAACGTTTCGCCTGTTCGAACGAGTGTGTTGTTCGAACCGACAGGTGAAGCGCCCTTATTAACACTCTCGCTATTGCATCTGTACTGGTTAGGAACGGGTAAGAGGCGTGGCAGGTCCGGAGATACCAGGTTCGGTTTGTTGATAACGCCGTGGTGGAAGTGCCAGGGTGGCGAAAAGACCCACCACTCCGATTGGTTCGCACAGATTTACTCTCATCCACCCATTGTTTTTCCAGATGCCCGAATACGGTTCAACAGCACAAAAGTGAGTCAGCTGAACTTTTTTGCTCCTCCACGCACGAATTCCACAACCAAACCAAAGCCGTCCCGCACATCACGCCGAACTAAAAAAACTCATGAACCAACTAGCGCCACGTCAACCACCACCCAGAAAGCACGAGCACGCCCCAGCACACCAGTAGGTCAAACCAACCCCCACCATAGAAAATGCTTCTGTATTAGCAAAATCGTTTGCAAATACAGAAAAACACAACCGATATACATATGTTGACCCAACTTTGTGTACAGTACCATGAATTTTCTCGGCATTCCTTACAGAGCCCGACTACATCGCGTACAGCAACAGCCGTTGTTCGCCCGTTATGGGACTTCGCCAACCTTGCGCGCACTGTTTTGCCAAACCTCGCACTGCCGGCCCGACCGTGTCGGCCTACGCTCCGGGACTAGCCCGAGCCTCGCTACCAGCGTAGCACTAGCCAGCTCGCACGCACCGCGTTACCGTTTGCATGTTTCGCGTATAAATGTTCGCTCATGCCTTCGCTCACATCTTTGTACTCGTTTGACACCTTAATGCAATTCTCGCTACTTCGATTCATTGCACCCGTAACACTTGGTATCAGAGCCCCTTTCCTTTTCGGACCGCGCATCTCCGCACCCCAGGAAATCAACTTTTGATTTTTCACTCGAAGGAACTCACGTACCTTAGCACAAAGGAGCCCCTGACCTCGCGTTCTCTAGTAAACGCGTGCAGCCACGACTGCGCCTAGACTAAGACGAGCCGACGCCATTCGAAATGGCTGAGCATATCGACGTCACGACTCTCACGCAGGAGCACTTGAACGATCTGCTGCGACAAATCCGCGAGAGCGCCGAGGAAATCGCGACACTGACGGCAGAACGTTCGGCCCTGCAAAACGACCTCACACTGGCACAATCCCAAGCACCTGGCACTCCGATTCCGCCCGCACCACAGGCATCACAGCACGAAAGTGTGGGGCAACCCGCGAGCGCCGCAAGTGATGGCGTAGTCCGCCATGACGGAGACGACGACCACGGCACGACACAACCCGACGTGACGAATGCGACCAGGAATCAGCCTCGAGTCACGATTTCAGTGCCGGCCGGCGAATCAGCTCTTCCGTCGCCGATGCCGCTAAAGTCGCAGCGTCCGCCATGCTTTGACCCAAGTCAGCGGGGTGGTCCTACCGTTCAGGCGTGGCTCTTCACGTTGAACGTTTTCTTCGACGCGAACTACGTCTCGGAGGATACGGCGAAGACTCGTTACGCCGTGTCGTTGCTGCGAGGACCCGCCATGGACTGGTGGCGCGTCATCGTCAAGAAGTCGGTGGACTACGCGACTCTACCGACACGGGAAGGACAAACCGGACCCTGGGCGCCGTCGTATTTCGTGGAGGTGCTCCAGTATCGCACGTGGGACGCGTGGTGCGCAGAGGCTCCGCATTTGGCGCCAACTCGGTTCCATCCAAGACTACACGTGCGGCGCGATCGCGTTTCGAGCCAATTGCGGCTTCGATCGCGGCGCGATAGAGGCTCCGCATTTGGCGCCAACTCGGTTCCGTCCAAGACTACACGAGCGGGTTTCTGGCGCAAGAGCTCGTGCAGCTCACTCACATCCACTAATGAGCACCCACTACGTCACTTCTCCATATCTCCAGGGTTTGTTATGGCCTGTCCCTCACCCCCACACGATTCTAAAGCAATCACATGAGTATTACAGGACATACAAACAATGTAGAGTCGAATGCCCGTACCCCCTATATCCTAGCCTACTCCCTCCCCCTATTGCTACACCGTTAACGCCCTTCGAAGGGGATGGCCTCCCACCGAAGCAAAAGGACAGCCTTCTCATCCTCTTCCCACCCCCACTTAGCCGCCCCACTGCTTGACCTCCAGCTCGCGCCTGTAACTCCAGCTCGCTCGGGCATCTAACCTGCACGGAAACAAACATGCATTCTTCACACAAAGCAAAAGCTCCATCCAATTGTCTCCCTTCCCCGTTCCCCCCATGCGACTGTCTGCTGACTCGGCAGCCCAACATCGCCCAGCCATCATCCGAGCCTCGGTCCCTATCCTCAGTACCTGTTTACTCGTTTGCCTGTACAAATGTACATTATGTACACTCCCATCCGTTCTCCATATACTTGTGACAGCGAGCAGGTGGGATATATGCATGAGAGCGAACGCATCGACCGCTACATCGGCGACCTGAAGCAGGACATCGCTCAGAAAATCCAGCTTCGCGGCGTCACCGATTTTCAGGAGATTCTCGCCATGGCGGAGAAACTCGATTTCTTCCGCCGACCGAGACCGGGGTCCTACGGAAGCAGCAATTGGGGACATCGGCCTCGTGGGACGAACGAGGGCGCTACGATACGTGCCGTCGCCGCAAATGCCGCTGCCGCACCGTTCAAAGGGCGCTGCTTTGCGTGCAATCAGCCGGGACACCGCAAAAGCGAATGCCCGCAAAACGCTAAGGGAAAGGGGGAAGCTGAGCAGCAGAAACAAACCAAGCAGCAGGGAAACGCTGGGAGTCAATAGCAGACGGGCCCTCTACTGACAGGTCACGCCGCTCGCCCGACCCAACCGACCCTCACCGAGTGATTGTGCCGGTTCACGCAATCGACCACACCCGGCCGAATAAGGAGGGGACTACGGTAGACAGCCCCATACTGCTTAGTGGGAAAATTGGGACGGACTTAGTAAAAATCTTTGTAGACGGGGGAGCCAGCCACAGCCTCATCAACACTGCCACAGCATGAAAACTGCGACTGCCACTTGACAGATGTTTACATGAGATCGACGCAAGACTTGTAGACGGCACGCCGCTGGCGATACGGGAACGCAGAGACCGGGTTCGGATTCGATGTGGGGGTAACTTCACGTTTAGCCAGGAAATGCTCGCAACGACCCTCGACGGAGCCGATATTTTACTCGGGCGTGATTGGCTGCGACGACAAAATCCGCGAATCGACTGGACGACGGGTGACTGCACCGTGCGAGTGAACGGTAACAAGATCGCCTTACCTCGCCTGAGTCTTCGTCAGTGCGTGTCAACGCGATCACGATGAAACGCGCTGTAGCGGCAGGAGCTGATGTGTACGCGGTCGACATTCGGGAAGCCGAGGCAGCACACAAATGAGGGGATTTATAAAAACTGCTGGCTGACGTACCGAGTGATCTGGCAGCACTATTGAAGCAGTACAGCGACATTTTCCCGGATGATTTACCAACGGGACTGCCACCTCAGCGACCGCACGACCACACGATAGAGTAAGAACCGGGGACACAGCCAACAGTACAGCGACAGTTCCGACTGACCCAGCCCGAACTGGACGAACTGAGGAAGCAGCTCGATTACCTGCTCGAGAAGGAATTCATTCGCCCTAGTTTGTCGCCGTTCGCAGCACCGATACTGTTCACACCGAAAAAAGACGGGGGATTTCGCATGTGCATAGATTACAGAGCACGGAACAGGGTTACCATCAAATCCCGTTACCCCATCCCGCGAGCCGACGAACTGATCGACCAACTGCGCACAGCCCGGGTTTTCTCGAAAATCAACCTCCGAGAGGGTTACCACCACATTCGCGTCAATCCGCCCGACTGCCCTAAGACCGCATTTCGCACACGCTACGGATCCTTCGAATTCACCGTCATGCCCTTCCGACTGACCAACGCCCCCGCCACTTTTCAAATGACCATGAACGAAGCTTTCCACCCGCTCTTAGATAAGTGCGTCATAGTTGTGAGAATTAGAACGAGAATAATTGAACTATGAAACAGTTGGGTACAAGTACTAACCCTAATTGGGTTGTACCCCTTATGGGCTACCCCATTACAGCCTACACAGATGTATAAGCTATAATGTTCTGACACACCCCCATAGGCAAAGTGGGGGAGAACAAGTGGTCACAAGACCTGTCAAGCGAAGCAAAGCAAGCTCAGGGTGGATCACAAAGTCACCACACAGTCCAAGCACAAGAGCAAGGCCACAAGGCCAGTTCTCATGCAAGATCATATATATAAAGGTAAACAAGCAAGTGCAGGTATCGAAAGAGTACAGTACAAACAAGATCAAGAAGTGAGCAAGTGAGGCCAAGTAGGCACAAGACCTAGCAAAGTACAGAAGCGCTGATGATCACAAGGCGGAAGGGCCTTGGTGAAGATATCAGCAGTGTTGGCCTCAGAGGCCACGTAGGTGAGGCGGAGCTAACCACGCTGCTGCAGCTCACGAGCCAGGAAGTAGCGGAGAGCAATGTGCTTCGTTCTGTGCTCCAGTCTGTGCTCCCAACAAAAGGCCAGCATGGCCTTGTTGTCTACGTACAGAACTGGAGGAGAACGAGGCGGCTCTCCTAGGTCAGTCAGCAGGTAAGTGAGCCAGCGTAGCTGTGACAATTGAAACGAGAAAATGAATGAACTATGAAACAGTTGGGTACAAGTACTAACCGCAAACGGCCACAGAAAATGGGGGGCAGTCGCATGCATCATGGACGTACGAGCGACGTCCATGACTATGTCAATGCGGCGCTCATCAATCCCATTTTGCTGTGGAGAGTCCGGAAGCGTGAAGG